ATATTAAAACTACCTTTTTTACTAATTATTATAATACTTATTATTACACTTTCTTGAAAGGTTTAGAATTATGCATTGAGACAGACTTGTAAAACCATCGATATACATCCAGCATCAATGTTACTGTAGTTTTGTTATAGGTTTATAATATTCCCCCCTAACTATCCACCGTTCTTCAAGTTTAGTGAAATGGGTATCCTACACTTGGCCTTTTTCAACTAAGTTTGTTTTGTATTTCGATATTATCTTTTGAACTGTAAATTTGTTTTAATATTTTTTATCCACTATGAATAGTATTTAAATTTTTAATTATCGCCTTGTTTAATGGAAACTATTATTACAACTTTGCATTCAAATGGGAGAATCGATCTTACGTTGAATTTAAGACATTTATTGAGTGTGAGGACCTCTTTCTTTCTGTTAATATTTAACTTACAAAATAATTTCACTAACGTCATTCAAACTATCAAGTATCGTTTTTTCTCACGTTGTGTAAATCGAAAAGTACATCGAATCTTCGAATTCTGTGTAAGCGACCTTAAATTACCATAGCTGAAAACTATATAGCACGATTTAAAAAACAGTGAAAAGCTTTTTCTGAAAAACGGCGTAAATCAATCTTAGTTCAAAATGCATTATTTTTCAGGTCGACTGATTCGAGACGTATTTGTTTTTGCAAGGATTTTTATAGAATAATTGTCTGTGTTTTGTATTTAGAATTTCAGCGAATTTTTACTTTAATTAAGGTGCCTACCTAGTAGTTGCGGGAACATTTTTTTTGAAATAATGTTGAAACTTCCTTTTTAAACTCATTTTTTTTTGTTTGATTATAACTGAAAACTTATAAAAATAACAAAGAAAAAAATTTCAATATATTTTTGTAAGAAAATGGACAATTTTAGGTTAAAATTAGGTATTTTTTGCCCATCGCGCGCGGCAAACACTGTAAAATAAATTCTAATGCATAAGATAAAAAAAAGTTCTTTGAATTTTATTCAGAATTTACCTATGCTTTGATCTATCATCTTTGGATAATTTCAATTTATCACAAAATTAGGGGTCAAAAAGTCCACAAAAGGAAAATTTTTCAAACATTTTGCATTTTTCACAAAGAAAAGCAATCATAAAAAAGGTAAAGGTTTTTTCTTATTCTCTAGTGCGCAACATGCATACTATAATAATAAACAATGATGCAAAATTTCATGCAATTATCTCAATGAATTTTTGAGACATCATGTTTGTCATGCGATAAAATATGGAAAAATCTTTTTCGGAGAAAAGCGCATTTAAAGATTTAAAATCTAAATCTTAAAAAATTATATGGCTAAAACAACTTAAAACCTTTTTGTATCAAAAGAATAAACCTTTTATAAGCCCATATCAGTATTATATATTTGTTTCAAATTCTTTTTTTTAATTTTGTTACCAATTTTATAGAGTCAAAAAAGCTTTTCTTAACGTCTAAATGCATAGTTTTTTTAAATACAAATTAGAGAGATATAAAAAGTACACTAGAAAAACTTTATTACGTTAAAAAATATTTCTTATATGGAAAAACAGGTATATATTTCCACTAAGTATCTTAGAGCTTAAGAAATATGTAATATAAAATATATTAATGTGTGTTATTTTGTCAGTAAATATTCCCGAAAGTTTCTTTTAGAAAATATTGCTTATCATAAAAGTTATAAGAAATTATATATAATGAAAAGCATATAAAGAACAGTTTTTAAAACTTTCGTATGAATACACTTTGACATTTTTTCATCCTTATTAATTTGGTTTTCTATGCAGCTTTTTTCCCGCGAAAGTTTTCTATATTCTAAGAGGTGTCCCACTGAAGTTAAAAAGCGTTCCAGATCAAATTTTACAAATCCATGTACAAGATCTTTCGAAGGGAAGTATTTGCATTTCTAATTATATATAATTTTACTTATAATTATATATATATATATATATATATATATATATATATATATATATATATATATATATATAAAAGAAATATGTATTATTTATTATGTATGAATATGAAATTGTATTATATATATATATATATATAATAAACCTGTATATCAAAAATTAAAAGAAATTAATGTTAATAATGCACTTAAGCTAAATGTTTCAAGTTTATTAATTGTATATTTAAGTAAAATACTCCATAAAATGCTACTGAAAAAGGCCTTCTGAGTAAATATCGAAACATTTATGAATATATTTCAACTTTTTGTCACCAGTTGACTAAGTATTATTGGGATTATAGCTCTGTGTCAACATTCACATTACTTCTAGCACCAATGATGAAGCAAATTCCTTAGACCTCGCAGACTGCTTTAGGCATAATTAATTAATATTTTGTCTTTAAGAACAGATTTTTTATCAAATATACAAAATAAAGTTAAATATGAAACAAAATATTGAGAAGCAAGGGCATAAAAAATCGAAAAATGACAAACATTTTACGATTTGTTTTTTAATTTCACTTAAAAGTAATAAATTATTTTTTAAAAAATATCACCATGTCCCGTAATTACCTTACCTAAGTTAATATTTTTTAAATAAATTTGATAAACACCAAAAAAGTGTAAAAAAGTATTAAAATGCAAACACTTCCGGTTTCGATATCTAACTTCCGGTTCGTTTTTGCTGCTCTCTCTTGACATAAAAACTGTTAAAACTTCGTAAATATTTGAAGTACAAACAAAAGTAAGGTACTTTTAGAAAGCAGAAAATTCAACTATATAAAATTTAAAGTTAAAAAAATTAGTCATTTTCAGCAAATTTGACGTTTTTGAACTAGTCTGGCATCTTAATATTGCGCAGTCCGTAAATATTAAGATTTAAAAATTGGCGGACATAACATACTCGAACTTTTCTAAAATCATAAGCAAATAAACAATGTTATTTATTCGATTAAAATAGTATAAATAATTTATATCTGGAAGTGTAATACGCTAATATTACTTTTTGTTGTATTTTTTTGTGTTAAAATTGTAATCAGCCTCACACTCTGCCTGTTCATACTTTCGCAGTTCCTGGAGCCTGGCATAGACAAAACAAAATGCAAAGGTTAGCTTCACACATAAAAGATAGATATTTGCTGTCGTGGGCTTTTTTGCAGATGGCAGAATTTTTTCCTACTTACTTGACAGTTATTGTTATATTTTGGACGCTTCACACAATATCTATAAATTATATAGTCTATGTGCTATTCTGATGTATAAGCTATACTATTGTAAAGTTTCATTAAAATCCATTCTCTCTCTCTCTCTCTCTCTTTCAGTTGTTTATGCGTGAAAGACTCCCAAACATCCTCGCAAACTTTCACGTTTATAATCTATATTAGGATAATCATTCTAAATTCCATAAATTGTTAATTAAGATCACACCAATATGATAACGGGTCTCAAAAAGGCAAAATGCAATTTCAAATATGATACAGTGTTCCCTGAAGTGATCAAATGTATGTGATCATGATCCTGAAAGGGTTAATATGTTACTTTGTGACTATTGTATTATGTTTCTATTACTTATTCTTACATGTTTTTTATGTATATGTGTGTTTTTTTTTCATTCATCCATTTATATATAGATATATATATAGAGAGAGAGATAGGTAGATAGACACGATTTATATAACTATTTAAGGAATAACTGCAATTTACACATAATTTTTTTTCTCGGGGTTTTAATTTTGTCAAACAAAAACAAAAATTCGGTGTTTTTTTTAAATAAAGTTTATAGTAAGAGATATGCAAACTCTATTTTAAAAAAAAAACATCAAACACCGTTTTATTTTTCTTATTTGATGAACATTTAAGATGTTTGTACTTCCAGTGAAGGATGTTATTGAAATCTTCGATTTCTCCCAACTCCCTCACAGCAGGTTGACGTAGCCATTGACGCATAAATTTTCTTCCAATTCTTTCGATCAGTCCTACTGAACTTATTTTCTTCCGGATCGCCGCGGAAGTAGAAGGGTAATCATAAACAAAAACCTCCAAAAGAACGGCCGCCCTTTAAAAAAGAAGTCTTTCCTTCCCGTTGTTCCAAGTACCCCCTTCTCCAAAAATTTCAATATCGCTTTTGTCGTTTGTGACAGCACCCTCAAACGCAATGAGAATATCATATTCGAAAAAATAAAGTTCCACAAAGGGGTCGTCTGGGGAAGAAAAAAAAGTATACACCTCATGTGGAGAGGGGATTTTTTAATGCACCTTTACGTACTCTTCGTTTGGTGAAAGGGCTAGAAGTGTAGAAGAGAGGGAAAAATCTTTTTTCCGACTCAGGCATTCCGGAAACGCTGAAAAGGGAGTGAGAGGGTGAAAGAAAAAAAGATGTTTGTTTGGTACAGAGGCAAAAAAGGTGACAGTAACTGGAGCTGAATCGGTCCTTTGTTTTGGTGACCCCAAGCGGTCAACAGAGATTTTCAGATTAGTCAGTGGATTCTGTATTTCAGTGAACGCAGCTCATAAATTTGAATAGTGAAGTTGAATCGAAAGCTATACATTTTTAACAGATAGATTGTTGTTGGTGGTTGTAGGTATTTCCGGTTAACGGAAAAGGCTTAAAAGTCTTTGTCATGCTTATGTTAGCTCATTTATTCAAAAATTCAAATCTCTTTTTGCCAAACACTGGATAAGAATTTACACATTTGCATATAAAGTATATAACTTATAACTTAACTTCCTTATAACTTAATAATTATACATAAATAAGTAATATAAAAAAATTAAGTCCTTACTTAGGTCAATAAAGAAAATTTTTATTTTAGTTACTTTTTATCAAATAGTTACAATATAAATATGTATATACATATGACAGAATCGCAATATTAATACAAAATAGAAAGCGATTTTCCTTGCAACTTTCTATTTTCCTTTCTATATAGGGTGTTGGACTATTTTTAGTTTGTTTTTGTTACTATTTATTCATTAATTAAATTTAATTATTCTAATGAAATAGCATAGTAAAAAAGAAGTCACATTCTCAAGTTAGGCCATCCCAGGTGGGATTCGTACCCATGACCTTTGAATTAGAAGTCCAACGCTCTCTATCCAATGTGCTACAGGGACACAACGAGCGATTTTCCTTTCTATATATGCTGTTGGACTATTATTTTTTGTTTGTTACTATATATTCATTAATTAAATAAAATAAAAATTAATGTTTGAAAAAACTGTATTAACATCAAGTGTCATCCACTACAAGTTTCAAAAAATGTATTTGAACTTGAGTGGATGAAAAGAAAGTGTATTTTATTAACGATTGAAAATTTGAAAAAAGACATATATCTATATATATATATATATATATATATATATATATATATATATATATATATATATATATATATATATATATATATGTGTGTGTGTGTGGGAGACAACAAGGGGTCCAAGACGTTGGTCTTTCTTCTATTTTATTTTAACATTAAACAAAAATTAATTAAAAAGGTAGATAAGTTTTTACAGATAAGTTTGACGATGATATTCAGAAGGTAACGCCTGCTCGCGCACCTCTCGCGTTCTCCTTTCTCTCTCTTTCTCTGCTCTAATGTCCAAAAGTTTTTGTTTCACTTTCACTAGTTCAAAAGTTTCCACAGTTTCAGTTCTCATTAGCTGCGCCTGCGCGCGAAGACTGTGTTTTGCTTTTGGCTGCATGCCACAACGGCCATTCTGACCGTACGCTGTCCGCAGCGGTACTTCCATGGAGACCAGAGGAGAATCTGAAACATACAAAAAAAAACGGAACAGACAAGGACTATACGACAAATATATAGAGATTAAACATATCAAAATTTTGTTGAACTAGACAGTTTCTCCATCATGTGAAGGCACCTCTTCGACATCCGGAAGGTTCCACAGGAAAACATTGTGTTTCACCGGCATAAGAACATCTTTTTCAACAAGTTGATCTTTGGTTGAACGCATCGATATTTTCCTCTGTAGAGTTCTGGACGTCTGTTCAAAACGATTTCTCTTTTTCCTTCGTTTCCACTGCCAAGGCTCAAAAATTTTTCGGAACAACACAAACCGTCGATGTTCACTCTTCATAGGTAAAGGGTTAGGTGAGCGGGAGATAAATTCCACGGAACTCGTTTTCATGGCACCATTGGCTTTCTTACACAATACTATATCAGAACATTTTTCTCTTACAATACTCAATTTTAACTTAGTAATCTTAATTTTATTACATTTATAATCCTTAATTAGAGAACTCGAATCATTTCTAGTATTAAAGTTTATAACATGTGGCAAATCATAACTAGAGTTTTCTATCACATTTGAAACAGAAACATTTGGAAAAGAAACACTTGAATTAAACTGAACACCCAAATCTGCACTCAAAGAGGATCCACTTTCACTCAATAAAACATCGCTCTTTGCGTGGCCTAGTTTCTCTATTTCAGAATATATACTGGGATGTATAATAAATTCTTCGGTCAAGGTCGGTGATATTGCCGTTCCAACACTTAAGCTAGAGAGTGTTGATTAAGAGAAATATTTATGGGTTTAACTTCTACCATACGCTGTTCGCCAAAACATGAACTTAATGTTATGATCTCTTCGGAAGGTGTTTGCACTCTAATTAGTGAGGAATTTAAAACTGGGATCTGGCAACCTGAATCAATCAATGCTGTTACGGGCTGATTTTCCACAAAAATGTTTACGTATTGAAGATTTGCGCATTCATCGCTATTTTGTTTTTCGCTCTCGATTTTCAAAGTATTCACGTTTATTTTATTATGGATGTGATCATTAGATTCTTTAGGTTTAAAACGCTTCTCACAGTCTCTTGCGCAATGAGATGAATCACCGCATATATAGCAATTTTTATTTTCTCTTTCATGATATTGGGGATAGTTCTCTTTAATCTTTGTTTTAAAGTTTTGTGATCTATTTTTAAAGGGGTCTTGGGTATATCCATAAGTAATAGGAATTTCTTTACGTGATCCGCTTCTAGATGAAATATAAATATCACACTCTTTAGCTAAATCAATAGGCCTAAACCAATCTTCTGCTTCTCGAATGCCAATATGAGTTGCGGTTTTCTTATTTAAAGTTTTGAACTGTTTATCTTCGACTTTAGCTGCAGGATTTAAACTTAATGCTTTATTTTTAACCCTTTGAAGTTCGACTTCTTTTTCTAACTGTGCTAACTGTAGTTTCGCGAGCTCAATTTTCTGTTTTCCTGAAGTTACCTCTCTTTCGTTTCGCGATACTCTCTCATCTATACAGTTTTGAATTAAAGTTTTAACGAAATCTGGATCACTTTCAAATGTACTACTGTTCTCAATTTTAGTCTTTAGTTTAACTATAGTGTCAGTACTCTCTACAGTACCGTCTAGATTCTCAACAACTCTTATGAGATCCTCTTTAAGAGCGTTTTTATACATTTTAGAAATGGAAAGATCCTACCTTTTTTTTTTTCTGGCTCCTTGTTGCTCGCACGTACGATGTATCCAATAAAAACGTTGATTCCACTGATGTCACCTCTTCGCAGGTAATATAGTTGAAATTGTAGTTCCGGCCTCTACACAGGCGGATTATTCACACTGAGTTAGTTCCAACCTCTACACAGGCGGGATTTTCGTCGATGGGTTTTCCAACCTCTACACAGGCGGAATATTTGTCGATGGTTCGTTGAAAAATATACCTCTACACAGGTTATTTTGTTATTTGTTCCGACCTCTACACAGGCGGAATGAAGTTGAAAATTCAACCTCTACACAGGTTGAACGAAGTTTCCGTAAATGGCGGAGCGTCTCCTTCACGGACGCTGTTGTTCATTGTCCAGACTTTGGTTCAAATCGAAATTTTATCTATCCCGGCCGAGCCCATAATTTGTGGGAGACAACAAGGGGTCCAAGACGTTGGTCTTTCTTCTATTTTATTTAACATTAAACAAAAAATTAATTAAAAGGTAATAAGTTTTTACAGATAAGTTTGACGATGATATTCAGAAGGTAACGCCTGCTCGCGCACCTCTCGCGTTTCTCTTTCTCTCTCTTTCTCTGCTCTAATGTCCAAAAGTTTTTGTTTCACTTTCACTAGTTCAAAAGTTTCCACAGTTTCATTCTCATTAGCTGCGCCTGCGCGCGAAGACTGTGTTTTGCTTTTGGCTGCATGCCATATATATATATATATATATATATATATATATGGGAGTCCGAATAAATCTTCGAATAAAAAATCAGACTCTTCAGAAGGCGGGATTTTATATTGGCGAGGTGGTTTGTCTAGGGGTAAGTATTTAAGGGTGAGTGATGAATTAATTGAATCAAAGTCATTTAAACACAGATACTTCATTTAAGTAAAAAAGAATTTATTTAAAGTTAAAGGGAAATATTTACAAAAGGGGATATTTACAAAGAGAAAGAAATGCAGGAATTAGGTTAATTAAAAGTTGAGTTATACCCCTTTAGAAGACGGGGAAATAAACCTTTATCATTCTTGGACGTTAGGACTGGTGGTGCCGCGCAGGGCGCGAAAATGCGGTAAAGACGCGACGTGTTGAACAAGCAGTGGTTAGTAGGCCTCTGCCGAAAAATTATTCAAGCCGGAGCTACGAAAGCTCACTAGATGGCGCTGCTTCGGAATGCAGTAATAAATAAAATTGAGATTTATGGTCCTTTAAAAAGGATATGACTCAACCTTTTAACAAAATGTTTCAAAGGGAAAATCCTACATATATATATATATATATATATATATATATATATATATATATATATATATATATATATATATATATATATTGATGAATATGACATTTTACACAAAATTTTATTAGTTGGTTTTTACAATATTAAGAAAAATTTTCTAATGTCAAATAAAATACGAAATAAATAACAAATACAGTGAAAAATTGTTTTATAAAAATTAATTTCATATTCATTCAATATATATATAAAAATATAATTAGTCATATTTAAAATAAAAACTATATAAGTAGATCGTTATATATATGCAGACTCAAGTCAATATAACTTTATCTCTCTTTAAATTATTACCTTTAAATAAAGCATGCTTTAAGTTTAGTGAATTTCTTAGGAAATTTGGCATTGATAAAAAGAGGAGAGAATTTGCGATTTTTTTATTTGAACTAAATACAAAAGGGAGCGGAATGGCAAATGCTGTGTGATGACTTAAGTCTAACAAAATTTTATTTCCTTTTCTGATTCACACACACACATACACTTAGTTATTATCCTCATTTCTTTTTGTCAAGTAATGAATGAGATTAAAACCATATAATCCGCCATTAAAATCTTTCGCATACTTATTTTTTTGTACACATTTTGAGTAATTGATTTTAATGCAACTTTTTGCCCACTTACTCAAAAGGTCTTCTGAAAATAATTGCATTATGTATAATTATTTTTAAATAAAAACAAACTATATAGATGAAATCGGTTTTTAAATTAGTTTTAAGATAAACTGCTCATGAAAAGCTGACAGCAGAACTTAGTTTTAAATTAATTACTATGTCTACGGAACTGACCTTAAGTAAACAACAAACTGACCTTAAGTAAACAACAAACTTAAGTAAACACAAACTGACCTTAAGTAAACAACAAAATAACCCTTATATGGACTCACTAAATTACTGTTATAGCCTTATTTTCAAACTCTACGAGATTCAGATTGTAGAATTTGCTGAATACCTAAGACTTGGAGAATTATATTAATACATTGCATAATATAAAAGGTTATAAAATTCAATTGCTTACTTAGAGTTAGTCTTTATGAATTACATAGCTATATGAAAACTATAAAAATTTGTTATTATATTTTAATATTTTTAATTTCAAAATTTAAAAAAAAAATTCTAGTTATAATTTGATTTTTAACTTATGATCGCTCAATCTTTCTTGATTTCAAGCCTTTGTTTTTAAGTTTCCAGCTTTACCACTTAAGTAACAAAAATGATTAAAGTTACTAAAAAGATTAAATTATTGTATAATTTTTTTCAGAAAAACTTACTACTGTGACTTTGGAGGAGAAATTTTTATAAAATACCCTCATAAATTAGTTTAAAAAGTGCAAATGTTTCAGTTATTAAGAAGTAC